TCCCAGAATAGCTCACGTCAGTATTGTCCAGAAATCACCAGCTGCAAGCACAGGCCGGTCGGAACCACGACGTGTTCGAATTAAAGACGTCATCAACGACCGGCCGAGCCGGTGACACCTCACCCGACCTGCGGTGGCGTCGGGTCGGGTCCCGTTGACTGGGTTCACATTAACTGGAAAAACTTTTCTGCTGGATTTGCGAATCCCACGGGGCCACATGTAAATGCAAACGTGAGACTTGAGAACCCTTAGCCGACGTGGCACCTCCCATTTCCCTTGTCCTGCTCCATTGACGAAAGTACCCCTAGCGAGTCGATTTCCATAACCCCACGAAGAAAAGATTCTGGAGGTTTTTCGGATGGGCATACGAAACGAAATTTCGGAAATTTAACGGGGAAAGGACCCGGTTTCTATGCGTCCAAGCCCTATTAATAAATTTATTTTTGAGATGGATTTTAAGGCTTAATTTTTAAAAGCATCTAATCTCTAACATAGAGATTATGAATATAAAAAAATAAATAAATTGTAAAAACCAAAACTAATAAGTATACTAAAAAAACATTTGAATTGTTAGTTTTTATTGTTTTTTAATAAAACACTTACTTGCATCCATTTTTAAGATTGATGATTTATACTTTCTGGACCGCATGTGTAGAAATACAGTCCAGTCCGCAGGAAACAATTTTCTTTTACAAAATTGGGCATGAAAATTGGGTGCGATAGATGGTGCCATTAGTTTTACAAAACTCACATCAAGGGTAAATCGTTCGAACCTCATTTTTGTTTCAATTATTCAGATCGGTCTAGATTAACCTAAATCAGTTATTCAAAAAATATTAAAAATAATTAATAAAATAAAAATTAAAGTAGGCTGACATGGTGCAAATTCAACGGGACCTATAAAACCATTAGATAAGTTTTTTTTTAAAAAAAGGAAATATGAGTGTGGGATTAAGGGGGGACCGGGTTGGGACTGAAACGTTTCTGGAACCAATTCGGTCTTTTCTATTCCAGTCCCTTTGTTGATTCCTGATTTGTATCGTGAGGTTTCAAGAAACTGCATTAAATTAAAAGGCGGATGAGGTTCACTGCAACTTGTAAAGCCATGGTCCAAATTTAGGCAAGAAATGTCATCGAACTTATCATTTTGACTGGGGTTGAGAATGGGTTGAATCAGGTCTGGATCCATTGGGATCCGGATTCTAATCCTAAAAGTATACACAAGATCCGGATCGAAATCTGATCCGATCAAAAAAATCCTGATTTGGATCTAGATCCAAAAAGTACACATGAAATTTGCATCTGAATCCATATCCGAACGTTATCGATCTAAAAAAAACTATTTTATATATTTATACCCATAAAATAAAAAATAACATATTAGAAAAGGGAAAAGTTTATATAGAGCCGAGGCTCTAAACAATCAAATTTGAGCCTACGTCAAAAATTCACTACAAGAGGTTGTTCTCATGCCCAAATATCCTCAAATTGATCATCTCGACATCAAGACGCATAGACATGAAAAAAAAATGGATTTCAAGTTTTGAAAATGGGGTATTTTATAATGCATTTTTGAACCATTAATTTTCAAGATTTTCAAGTTTTCATAGATCTATCGACCTACACTATTTTTGAAACTTTAAATGGAAATATATTTTAAGGCTATCACAAAGATTTCCAATATTGAAACCACATTTCTCGACACTGTTTGAAGGTATGCTCTAATTTGATTGTTTAGAGCCTATGCTCTATACATACTAGATTACATATATGTATATATAAAATAAGGAAAACTCTTAAAAAAGCATATAGGCGAAATTAAACAATGTTTCATCCCGCCACGAGCATGCTATGTCCGTTACGATTTTGCCTCAAAAACCGCCACAGATCTACGAGAGCTGTGGCGGCTTCCCGTGTTTTTTTTCATGAAAAAATACCGCGCACGGACATGCTATGTCCGTTGCGGTCTTTTAATCCAAACCGTCCGAAAAAATCAGACGGTGCGAGCCTATAGGCAAAAATACTGTTCATTTTCACCCATACGGGTTGCGTAGTCTCTTACATAAAATAATATACAATAATTTAATAATTGGGTTAGATTCGGAGATCCGAATTATTATTCAAATCCAAATTTTAGATCCAAATCCAACCTATCGGATCTAAATCATGGATCCATACCCGGATCTGGATAGGGTCCAAAATTCGGGTTTCATATCCAAACCAAGCAAATTCTCACCCTTAAAATATTCGACACAGACAAATATAAATAACATATAACAAATTTTAAAAATAGTGTATTTTGACATGCATTATCTTGGCTTCTTATCTAAAATTTGAAGTGTTCACAAATACATTTACATTGTTTTTAACGCCTCAAAACTAAAATTTAGAGAAAAAAGTAGATTGGTGATAAATATTTTTGGTAGTAAAACTAAATTTTCGAGCTGTAATTTAAAGAGGCAGCTTTACCTTGCACTATAAAGCTGCCACTTTACAGTGAGAGCACCAGATCACATTGTTAACAAATTTTAGCAAAATTATGAAAGAATGTAAATGATTGAAGGATGTGAAATAATTTTTAAAAATTGCACTGATGAGGTTGGGGGTGACACCCCACGGGAAAACATGGGAAAACATATCATGCCAACCCATGATTATTAGTAGGCAAGTGATGAGTAAAGGACCATCTAAAGCTGCTCATCCAAATATCTCTTGTAAACCCCAAACGACTGTTGATACTTGTCTTGTTACTTTTACAATTTGGGATTTGACGAAAGGCCACGCCTCGATCATGATAATCCAATTCAGACATGCTTCTAAATTTTGCTACAAGTTGCCATGGCATATATATATATATATACACTTGCAATTATGAAATTTATTGCTCCAAACAAGTGCAATCGAGCCGATTTATTAATATTAAAAAAATCTTATCCAAATGAATCATATTTACACTTCTCAAGAGTCCTATGATCAATTTGAGAGCTTTGTAGAGTCCAAAAAACATTTTCTGAAAAGGTTTTGAAGTTTGCCTCACAGTTCGCAAAGCCAGCTGGGTCAACCCGGACCACTCTTGGTTACTCGGAACCGGCCACTAGTTGTGGCTGGTTAGGGTAGTCAACCGGCTTGACTACCCTAACTTAAAATATAATTCAAAGAAAATTATACAATATCCATAAAAATAAGAAATTTGTTTGTAATGGTTTTTTTTTTTTAATATTTTCTATTGTTTTGGAAAGGATTGAGAAGTATTTTGCCCATAAATAGTCATGTTTATATTTTTCTCATTTTTTTTGGATTATTTTAAAAATACCCTTAGGCAGAAATTGATTTTTTAAAGGGAAAAGTTTATATAAGGTTATAACCTTAAAATGTAGAATTACAGATGTAAGTCAAAAATCCATCGGAAAATGTTGTTTTAATGTTGAAAGACCCTCGAATTGTTCATCTCGACATCGAGATGTATGAATATGAAAAAAAAAAAAGATTTTGAGTCCCAAAAATAATGCATCTTGCAACACATTATCTAGACC